TTAATTGCAAAAGTAAAAACTTTCATTACATAAAACTTTAATTTACATACATTCTTTACACGGTGGAAGTCGTACGAGTTTGCAGCACGTTAAGTTACTGTCAACATTCTGCACTGGACGCATTTTAGAACAGCTCACACTATTCGGAGCACGTGTGCTTGGGACAGGTGTCCATCTGCCTCTGCCTGCCGGGACCTTCCCCGGTTCCCCGAAGATGCACGGCGGCTGTCCTGCCTACCTCCACCCCCCGTCTGGTCCCCCGGCCTCAGTGTCTGTCGCTGCCTCTTCCACGGGAAGGAGTGGGGAGAGAGACCACAGCTAGCTTCTGAGGGTGAAACTGTAGCAAGAAGTTTGGAGGGGAAGTTGCCTGTCATGAGACTAGGGGTTCCTGGGAATGCCATGTGTCTGTCTGATCTTGTCACTGATTCTTGTGCATAAGTGAGAATTTGTTCCTAAGAGGGCCAAAAGTGGCCCAAGGGGCTGGAATTTGAAGGCTGGGACGCTGCTGGTCTTTGAGTAAAGGTGGCTTCACAGGATGACTTCACCTACCCCACAGAGGTGTTGTGAGGAAATGAGGGCAATCAAGCTTGGCACAGAGCTGAGGTCTGGACTCCCCAGATTCTGTCTGAAACGCTAGACTGGGTTCCCTTCTCTACACAGGTGTTTGCAGCTGGGGCTCACGGTTGGATTCATGCCGCCGACAGACGTGCTAAGTGCAAGAGAAACGGTTGGGTCAGCCCCAGGCCTCCACTAGGAGTTACATAACATTTCTTCTCTCCACTATTCTGAAAAGCTCTGGACATTTCCCAGTCTCCGGAGAGAGGAAGATGACAGATGTATTTAGCTCTAATGCTTAAATTATGCAGGGCAGGGAAACCAGACACTAAGGGACCTGGACATCAGACAAGCTGGCTGGAGGACCTCTCACCAAGGCCAGCACTGCGTCCAAGGGTGGGCCCGACTTGGGTGTGGCGCACAACAGGGAGAGCACCTGTCCATCTTCTTGGAGATGCTTTTGTGGAAGAAGCCGCTGGACATTGGGAGGCTGGGGGTGAGGAAGCCAGGGAGACGCACGCTGATGGCGACACAGCACACTCCCAGAGCCTCCTGTTTTTCCTTTGCTATGGGGCTATCTCTATAAGCACCGGCACTTTCCTAGCCTCCTGGCCCTGACACCATCAGCTCTGCGCATAATATGAACAGCTCCAAACACGGAGAGAATCTCAGTCTAGAATGCCATCTAAAGCACATCTGTGGCATGGCCTTCCTTTGACCAATTTTAGTGCGTGATGGGTCACCGCTGAAAGTTAATAAGCAAAGAGTTGTGAACTCAGGAGAGTTTCTCCCCCATCACTAGGAGAGCTCAAAGGCCTAAAAGACCCCTCCGATTAATAACGGATTCTCAAAAGGTAGCCAAGGTTGCCTCTCTCCATGCAACCAGACAGGCAGCTTTCTCTTTCCCCTATAACTTGGGCTTCTCCTGTGGGCAGGGATTAGATGAGAAGGGAACATGTGCTCTGGGGTTTTGAATGTTCATCGTGGAAGCCACTGGTTAAGAAGCAACTCATTCCCGACTATATTAGAATGACTGAGGCCGTCACCTGCAGCTAAGGAACTTTTGATTTTTATAAAAATAATTGTTCCTCCACAGAGGTCTATGCTGGAATTTGGAAGAAGGGAACAGAAACGAGAACTGAAAAACAAGTGAGGTAAACTCTAAGGGGACCCACAACTGGAATTGGGCAGAGTCCCTCTTCTGGTCACACATCTGGAAACATGTGGGGATGGGAAAATGGCTGGACACAGTTGTGTTCCAGCCACACTCACTCTTAAAGAGTTTTCAAACAGGGAGGGAAAAAGTGAAAGGATTTTTATGAAAGTCATCTGGTTAAATTCTCTCCTCTTCCATTTCTGTCCAAGACAGTTTTGAAAACAAACCCTGAAGAGTTCCCGACTTGCTGACCCCCTCCCTCAGTCCTCCTCCCCAATGGGGGCACACCCGAGACAATTAAACCCACATCTTCATTCTTGGGCACCACACTGTGCTGAAGCAGGAAAATAATACACTGCAAAACCAACTACCTATTGGCCAGCAGTTAACTGGTCTAAGCCCTAGTTGTCTGCAGGACTGAGTAACGACTAAAGGAGATCACGTATATGGAGACACTCTTAGGATGGACTGGGCAAATGTTACTCTTCTTTCTCTCAGAAAATGAGCCCAAATCTGCTCACTTCCTAGACTGTTTTGTTTTTCACCAAATAAGTAGATTCTGTTTTGTTTCGTTTTTTTAAAGATTTCATTTTTAAATAACCTCTACACCCAACGTGGGACTCAAACTTACAAACCCTGAGACCAAGAGTCTCACTCTCCACCGACCGAGCCAGCCAGGCACTCCCTAGATTTCTGTTTTCATAAACCGTATTATTTTACTTCCGCTCTTCCCTAAAGCAAATTGGAGATAAGGGAAGAAGATAAGTTCTGCCTCTTTCTATAAGCCTGAACCAGTACAGCGTCTTGTCAATACTGGACTCCTCTGGACCTCAGGACATCTGGAGGTAAGTGCTTCAGACTGCTGCCAGAGCAACCTTCCTCCCCACAGAGCTGATCTGGGGATCCAAATCTCTACTCTGGGAACCTACAAGAAAGCGAACCTAACCCATGTGCGGAGGTCACCACCGTGTCACCTCTCAGTAACCACTCAACAAACTTGCGAGTCCCTGCGGTTTTGTACTTACTGTGGTGGTGGAGGTGGGGGGTTGGTTAGGTGGCCCCACATGCCTCCCCACCCTTCTTCCTCATCTTGATGACCCTCTTTCGTGCACCGGGTCATGTGGAAGGACTTGTGCTGCTTCCGTGGAGGAGCTGGGGGTGGGGGTGGGTGAGCAGCACCCTCACACAAAGCCTTGGGGAGAGATGGACTGGCTGGCCACTGCGGGTCATTCCTGTAGGAAGCCGTTCCTGTACCCTGCTTATCAGAATTGCCTTGAGGATAAGGCCAATTACTTCTGTGTATCCAGTAATTAAGAGCAGAAAACCCTCTGTGGAAAATTTCCTAACAGAAATCTACCCTCAGTTCTGAACTGGGTAGACTTTAAGTAAAGTGAGTCGGAAATGCATGAAAAGTCTCAGCTTATCTGCGGCTACACCATTTTTTGTGGAGCTCGACAGCTCAGGGGCTTGGGGGACTCCCCAGGGGACACTTCAGAAGAGCGACACATGCAAGAGCGACAAGAAGAAAACTTTTCCTAGTCTTTAACGTTTTGAGTTGAAGTGGGTATTTTATGAACATTCGTGGTGTGAAGGGCAG